GTGATAAATTGAAAGGTCCCTATAGTATTAATGTTGATAACCTGGATTTCACCGAACAGCTTGTGATAAATCGAAAGGTCCCTACGGTTTTAATGTTGATAAACCTGAATTTCACCGAACAGCCTGTGATAAATCGAAAGGTCCCTATAGTATTAATGTTGATAAACCTGGATTTCACTGAACAGCTTGTGATAAATCGAAAGGTCCCTACGGTTTTAATGTTGATAAACCTGGATTTCACCGAACAGCTTGTGATAAATCGAAAGGTATCTATAGTATTAATGTTGATAAACCTGGATTTCATCGAACAGTTTGTGATAAATCGAAAGGTATCTATAGTATTAATGTTGATAAACCTGGATTTCATCGAACAATTTGTGATAAATCGAAAGGTCCCTATGGTTTTAATGTTGATAAACCTGAATTTCACTGAACAGCTTGTGACAAATCGAAAGGTCCCTATAGTATTAATGTTGATAAACCTGGATTTCATCGAACAGTTTGTGATAAATCGAAAGGTATCTATAGTATTAATGTAGATAAACCATCGAGGTGACATGGAATAGTTAAAAAGTTCTATCACAAGAGACAAATGTGTTTAGACAAATAGTTAATGAAATTTGAAATGTGTTTAGACAAAGGGTTAATGAAATTTGAAATGTGTTTAGACAAAGGGTTAATGAAATTTGAAATGTGTTTAGACAAAGGGTTAATGAAATTTGAAGTGTGTTTAGACAAGGGTTAATGAAATTTGAAATGTGTTTAGACAAAGGGTTAATGAAATTTGAAGTGTGTTTAGACAAAGAGTTAATGATACTTCAGTGATACAAGGCATATTTTTTAATGTTGTAACTTAGATATTAGCTGGAAGGCGCATGATGTTAATCTATCTGTGCTCTGCCCACCACGGCTATCGAAACCCGATTTCTAACAATATAAGTCCGCAGACTGAGAGACAAAATCAAATAGACCTAGAAAATTCTAGAAATGATTTGACGTCAGGTTGTCTAGTACATTTGAGAGTAGATGATAAAAACACAATATTTGTGAAGATATTAGGGTTTGTATCAGAGTCGTTTCTAGCCGGTAGAGCGAATCAGTCTTTTGTTTGTTTGTTTCAACCATGAAGTAGTAGAAATTATTTAAAAGAATCTACCAACGAAAGTACAACGTTACTATTGAAGTTTGTTAATCTTCTGGAAAAAGGCTTGAAAATAACTTCGATAATTTGGCAAAATAAAAAATGTCATAAATGTATCAGAACCAAGAGGTTTCCTTTGCATTTAGTTGTAATGTAGGAAGTAACCACTTTCAAGATACGCCATAAACATTGGTCAAACTATAGAAAGCGCACTTTAAGCTGAACCCCTTTCTGCGTATGTCATGAAGTACAGGGTGTCCCAGAAGTCTGGGCCCATAAATAAAATAGACATTATTTTCTTAAAGATAAACAAACACATTTCTAATGTCAGTTGTACATATTACAGGAAAGAAAATGCCCTGACGTCACAGTATACTAAGAATTGATATATGTATGGCTGTTAATTGTATGCAAATCTATATAAATAAAATAAGAGTTTTCTCTGTACATTGCTTAGAATAGTGTACTTTTTGCATATCTTCACGTTTCATACACCAGAGAAGCCGAAACAAGCATTATCTCCATTTCTGTCTGTCTGTCGATAACGCTCGCAGACGTGTTTTTGTTCGCTTTTCACAGGGAAACGGGTGCACTGATTTCGATGAAACTTTTTTTCTTTGTTCTATACATGCGTGAGAAGGTTATAGGCTACTTGGATTTTTGGAATTCACCTTAGGGCTCCGCCCCACGGTTCTTCAAAGTTCCAATGTTATTCTTATGGACATTTTTTTGTTTTAATGATTACCATAGTAACAGTGAATACAATGTAAACTTTTCAAAACAATGTTTATTATCTTTATGTTGGAGCTCTATGCTGGAAAGAAAACAACTCCTGCAAAAATTTTTTGCGTCACTCCAGCTTTCTGTGCTTTAATTTGTTTATGTATTGGCATTATTTATTGCTTTTAAGGTTATATTTCTTTTGATTTTAAGTTTATATTTCTTTAA